ACCTGTAATACCTGTCCTCAATCAGGATAAAAACGATGTAGAAAATAATGTAAGTTTTACATCTATACATGTTGTATTATAGTTTATTTTAACAATAATTATTTTTCTATAAATAATAGACGGACAATGAAGAAATGGTTTATCAAATGGAACTTGAAGCCGAAGCAGCTGGAATATCATTCGCCGAATACAATGAAAAACAAACTAAACAAATCAATAATGGAAAGTTTCATGATAATAGCGCATCGAAAGCGCGTGCTGTAAGCGGCAAAAAACGTATTTCTAAAGAAATTGAAGAACAAGAAATTAAAGAGTTGGCCAAAATAATGATGTCAAAAAAACAGAAAAAACTATATTCAAAGATGCAGTATGGAAAGAAAAAGCAAGAGGAAAAGGTTTTAAATTTAAAACGCAAAAAAGAAGAACTTAAACGTCAGAAGAAAAATGCTGTTTCTACGTCTCTAAAGAATGACAAAAAGAAAAAATAAAAAGACGATAGTCTTAAATTATGTGGTTTATTTCTCTAGATTTTTTCTTTCCTTTTTTCTTTTTCCTTTTTTTATTTTTTTTTTTGTTTTACTAAAATTTTTTTTTTAAAAAAATTTTTATAATAATTATTAAAAAAAAACAAAAAAAGATCGCGAAACTTACATTATTGAAAATCTTTTTTTTTTTTTTTTTTTTTTTTTTTTTTTGGTTTCAAAACAAAATAAATATTTTATTATATAAAGTCATAATACCTCCCCTAAAAGAAATACAATATACTCCTCGAAAAAAATAAAATAAGTTTGATATAAACAGCATATAACAAATCTTGAAAACCTAATATAGCATGACCTATTATAACATTAATTGTCTCCTCGTGCTTACTGACACTATGGTTGGCATTTGATTATTGAACTGTCACAATTATCTATTATTGCAGTCTACAACTGAAGATGTAAGAAAATATATACAAATATTTCATAAAGCAACGGTATGTACTACTTTCTTTGACCACTTCGTTGTCTCTTTTTAGTTCCCGGGGTGGCTGAACGTATACACGTGATAAGAATAGATTTTTAATAATTGGACGATCGATGATATGATGGGTAATCCGTTCATCATCTTCCTTGAACGGTGATCCTACACCAACTGTGTCATCCCAGCCGACCTGACCGCCAAATGAGCGTATGATAAACTCTAAGGAATATTTCGGAACCTCGCGAGAAAGGTAAAATACACATTTTGAAAATAAAATTTCAAATTCCGAAAGTGCTACGGATGCAGACTGGATATCACGATAAGTAAAAGTCTGGTTTAGGACATCCTGCTCCTGGGATGTAGATGGGACAGGTGTTTGATCCATAAAATCGTCCATAAACGTTTCCTCGGTTTCAACATTATCTGGCATGACTTCCGATACCGAATGTTCATCCATATTTTTGATTTCTACAAGCTTTTCTGGTAACGTTTTCAAACGTTCTTCAGAATTAACTTTTTGCACCTATCAGGTATTCACAAAAATGTAAATTGGAAATTTATCTGTCGCATTACAAATTATAAATTGACATGCTTAATTATGGTTGCAAAACATTGCATGCACAAGAAATCATAACGAACTCTAATGTAGCCAATGATAATAACTAAAATACATATTTAATCGTAAGATTATGTCAAACATATAAAAACGTACCGACTCTTCAAGTGGCAAAGCCCCACCTTCTGGTTGTTGATCAACCTTAGCATAACTTGATGCTAAGGTGAAGTTGCTTGACTCCTCAATAATAATGGCATTTAAACCAGCTGCGCCATCATCTTTTGATATATCCAATTTTGGAGGGTAAACTAGATTCATATCCGTATATAATTTAAAGTTTACAAAACCAACAAAAGTTTGGTAAAATTCCAAGAATGTAAGCATAACACGAAAATCAACATCATTAGGGTGTATAAAGAGTTATTGTCTGAA